CTGGTAGCACGTGCCTGTAATTCCGGCTACTCAGAAGGCTGAGGCGGAAGGATCGCCGGAGCCCAGCGGGTCGAGGCTGCGGTGGCCGGGAGCGGCCACTGCACTCCAGTCTGGGCGACAGAGTGAGACTCCAACTCAAAAAAAAAAAAAAAAAAATTAAAAATTCTGTAATATCACATTTGTTGAATTTTCCTTTATATACTGTATTGTCTTTTTAAAGAAATCCTTGAGGTTATAAGGATACTCAATATTTTCTTCTGAAAGTTTCAAAATTTTGCTTTTTACATTTAGGGCATTAATTTGGACTTTTCTTTTTTATGAGGTATAGGTAGAAATCTAGTATTTTCCCCCATATGAATAGTTATTTGTCCCCAAACTATTCATTAATTCATTCTTTCCCTTTTGTCACTTAGCCAATTTCCTTTACGTATGTTCTTGACTCTATTCTGTAATGGCTTATCTGTTCTTGCACCAGTGCCCCATTGTTTTTATTACTATAAGTTTATAATAAGTCTTGATGTCTGGTAAAGATTGCTCCCTTCAAAGTTATCCTGACCCTTCTTGATCCTTGGCTGCTCATTGTGAATTTTGGGTCAGCTTGCTCACTCCTCCAGAAACCTACAATAGTCAAAAACCTCTCTTGAGATTTTTTTTTTTAATTGATTTGAATTCATAGATTAATTTATAGAACACTGGCATGAATGGTTTAGAGTTTAGGCACATGAAACATTTTTCTGTTTATGTAACTCTTTTTTTACATTCTTCAATAAAGTTTTATATTTTTCTCTCTAAAGTCATTTTTAAACAGCTTTATTGAGGTATAATTTACATTTCATAAAATTCACTACTCTCTAAAGTTCTTGCATATCTTTTGTTAGATTTAATTACTAGATACCTTATGGTTATTGTGAGTAGCATTTTTACTTTTGAAAATTTTTGTCGCTGATACATAGGAAACTGTTTACCTATTGTTTTCTTGGTTTTGGCTGCCCTGAAAAATATTTTTTAAGAAACCTGAAAAGCATTGGGGACTTTTTTTTTTTTTTGAGTCAGAGTCTCACTCTGTTGTCCAGGCTGGAGTGCAGTGGCATGCTCACGGCGACCACAGCCTCGACCTGCTGGGCTCAGGTGATCCTTCCGCCTCAGTCTTCCAAGTAGCTGGAACCACAGATGAACACCACCACACCTGGCTAATATTTTTAAAAATTTATTGTAGAGACGAGGTCTCACCAAGTTGCTCAGGCTGGTCTCGAACCCCTGGACTCAGACAATCCTCTTGCCCTGGCCTCCCAAAATGTGGGATTACAGGCATGAGCCACTGCGCCTGGCCTTTTTGTTTTCTATCTGGGGACTTTTTGTTTTCTATCATGAGCAAGGATAGGAGAGAAACCTTCATTGTAACATATGACGTTTAAAAGAAAAGTTGAAAGCCCAATCTCAGGAACTAGAAGAAAATAAAAGGGATGACAAGGAATTCTCCAAATCTGAGATATGTTCCTAGGTGTGTTCACACCAGTAGAAAGATGAGTCTGTCCCTAACTCCTCCCTTTCCTGTTTATATATGGTATCACTTGTTTCATACATTCATTTTTCATAAGCTTTTAAATTAAAATATGGATCCTTGGCTGCTCATTTATTTATGAGACACTGCTAGGCATTTGGAATTAAAAGTTTTAATATTTAAAATTAAATTTTACAAAAGAGTACTGGGAAAAGCACAAAAAAGGCTAGTTGATTGTCAAAAAACTTTAACGTTTTACAAAACTCCTTCACATATATTTTGTATTTAGTCATTTTAGCAATCCTTAGTCTCATTTTTACAGGCAATGAAGGTTAAATAACTTACTAATAAAGTAGTTTTTAATTAAAAAATAAGATGTAACTATAAAATGATAAAATTGTTTTTATTGTTTATAAATTGCCTGATTTCTATTCCTTTTGTATAAAACTCATAATACTTTTTCTTTATCTGTCTTCTCTGAGCAGTGCATAAAAAGACATTGTATAAAGAGATGTCTGTCTCCTTATCTTATAAAAGAATACTTCAAGAAAACCACTAAGAAGCAGCCCAGATGTGTATTTCCTAGTGTTTCAAAGTAGCCAGCTTAGTTTGTAGGTAGCCTGTTTGCATTGTTACTTGTCAATAGTATGTGAAAGCCTTTAATAGGTAGAATATGAGAAAATTATGAGACAGAAATTGAAGACATCAAGGAAATCTGCAGTGATTATTTCATTAGTGAGTTAAATTCCTAGTCTTAGAATTATTTTTTAATTTGAATTTCAGTGCTATTTTCATTAAGATTCTGGTTACTTCATCTTACTTTTTACAGTCTTCCAACCACTCTGGAATATATATATATATTTATTAATTAATGATGATGATGATGATAATGATTTTGAGTTGGAGTCTCACTCCGTTGTCCAGGCTGGAATGCAATGGCATGCTCACAGCCACTCATGTTGACCTGCTGGGCTTCTGTGATCCTTCCGCCTCAGCCTTCTATGTAGCCAGAACTACAGGCGTGCGTGACCACACCCAGCTAATTTTTTATTTATTGTAGAGATGAGGTCTCACCAAGTTGCCTGGGCTGGTCACAACCACTCTGGAATATATTAAGAGATTATGACAATGAGGATTTTTTTTTTAATAGTCTAAGAGTATGATCATAATGAAAGCTAGATAGCAATTTTTCTTCAATAAAATTTCAGAGAGGAAATATTATTCAATTTAAACAAATTTATTAGATAAAGCTGAAATTGACATTTCTTCCTTGAATGGATTAAAAAGTCATTTAATTTTTTTCATTTTATTTTAGTCACTGTATATATGCATTGTTTCCTGGGTCCACGGGAAGCATGAGTCTGTTGGGACTTGGGACAAGAAGAAAACAAGACATCTTCATAAGGAAAACCAGACTCTAAAAAAAGTATCCCAAACTGTGAAGAGAGAACATAAACATGACCGACAGTGGACTTAGCGATCCTCAAAAGGGTAAGACTAGTTTGTACAGCGCTGAGATATATGCTGTAGGAAACTAGGGCTGTGCTGAGAGAAAATCTCTGGTGACTAAACCCTGAAGTGTTGAAGTAAAAAAGTAATTCAGTGGATTAATTTATGATTATTATTATTATTTAAAATTTACTGAATTTTACTACAATATCAGATTCTAATTATAATATAAGGTAGATAAATGTTTTAGAGACTTCAATAGTAGGGACCTAGAGTATTGGAAAAATACAATGCATCCTAAAGAAAGATAGTAAACATCTTTAGTGTTCTTTTATAAAGCCAAACTGATGTGCTATAGTTAGAGGAGATCTTTCAGTTATAGGTAAGGATTAAATTTAAGTTCATTCTGCTTACATGTACATATGAGAGATACAAAATAGGCAAAATGTGAAATAGATTTTTCAGAAGAGCAAAGAGGACATTTATTTAAATCTTTTATTATGGGAGTCTTTAAATATGAATATATGAAAGTGGAACAGTATAATGAACCATCCATGTACTCAACTTCAATTATTACCAACATAATGCTGATCTTGTTGCCTGCCCTGGATTATTTTAATGTGCATCCAAGACATTATATCATTTCACTTGTAAATACTTTAGTTTATATCTCCTAAAAATAGATTCCTCTTTTTTTTTTTTTTTTTTTTTTGAGTTGGAGTCTCACTCTGTCACCCAGACTGGAGTGCAGTGGCCGCTTCCGGCCACCACAGCCTCGACCCGCTGGACTCCGGTGATCCTTCCACCTCAGCCTTCCAAGTAGCCGGAATTACAGGCATGTGCTACCACGCCCGGCTGATTTTTGATTTATTGTAGAGATGAGGTCTCACTACCCAGGCGGGTC